TGAGTTGCCATTTATTGAGATGGAGGAAACTAGGTTGGGGGTGGGAGAGACTGGAGATGAGGTATTCCATTTTGCTTGAGATGTCATTTAAACAGTTAGATATCCAAAGGCTATGATTAAGGGGAAAGATCTAGCATGGATGTATAAATCTTAGAATTTTTTAAGGATATAAATGGCATTTAAATTTTCATTATTTCACATATACAATCTTAGTTATGGTTACAGTTGTTTAAAGCTTATTTTTTTTTCCTTAGGTACCAGGTACTGCAGAGAATGCCCGGTCATGTGTCCGAGCTTACTTTTCTGATCTACATGAAACTCTGTGTCGTCAAGAAGAAATGGCTCTAAGTGTTGTTGATGCTCATGTTCGAGAAAAATTGATTTGGCTCAGGCAGCAACAAGAAGATATGACAATTTTGTTGTCACAGGTTTCAACAGCCTGTCTTCATTGTGAAAAGACTTTACAACAGGTAAGTAGTTTAAACACAGGAAGGACATAGTTAAAAAAGGATTTGTAAGGTTAAGTAGATAATTACCTGAGGTATACACTAGTTTAGTTTATTACTTTAATAAATTTTTTTTATATTATTATATGTTACCACATGCTTACGACACGGTCTCTAACCTTGAATTGTTTCACCAACCATATCAGTGTCCTCTTTCATGTGCTCTTCCCACCATAAAACCATGGGTTCTAGAACCGATCTAACTTCTTGTCATTCTTCAGTCATGCTAAGCCATTTTCTCTGCCAAGTATGTACATTCTTTGGTGGGCTTACATCTATCTCCCTTTCCTGATAGTCTAGCCCACATGTTTGTGATTCTTTGAAGCTCCTTCTTTGTTCTTTTTTGGGGGGGGAGTGGAGGAGAGAGGGGTACCTCCCTAGCAGGTACTACCTATCGCTGCTCTAATTCAATGGTTCTTTGACGTCACAGCAAACTTTTGTTTTTTTCATGGTTGAGGTATCATAAGCAATTTGTCACCCAGTTTGCAGATGATGTACGTTTTAAATAAATTAGAATTACGGTTCTTTTAACAAAATGTCAATCATTTCTATTTTGGATTTGCATTCATGAATGGGCTATCTAAGGCTAATTATTGCCCTAGGAATTCACAATAAGCTGCAGTTGATCTTTACTGACATATTGCTAATAATTGTGTTGATTTCAAATCATTGTAGAGCTAAACTTTGAGAGTTTTTTCTTTAAAAGCAGATAATCTGATTGGAATTATATGAATGTGGCCAGGCCATAACCATATCACTCTTGAACTGTTTAATCCTTATTACATTGAATTATAATGATGTGTTTGCCATTTCTTAAGTTGTCTTTGAGCTCCAATCCTATTCTTCTGTATTTTGCTTTGTGATGCTGGGACAAACTCTACAAATCACATATCTGCTTTGCCAGTTGGCCCATGTTAGTTTAGCCAATAAGGGACACTAGAGAAAGACTAGAGGGTGGAGGTAGTTTCCTGTGGGTTCCCATTTGCTTGGTGTTCCTGTGAAAGTCACTCCTTATATGAGATAATTTTCCTCAGATATCTGAGTTTGAGCTCTGTGGGTCCCCTCCTGTAAGTTTCTAAGTTTTAATAATTCTAGCATCTCCCCTTTCGTTCCCCAGCCCAAAGGGTAGTAGCTATAACCACACCTTGTTAACAGTGCTTCATATTAAGTTCTTTCTGTTCATATGACTGATGTGGTGTTTGTCTCCTGACTTGAACCTGAATGATACAGTATACGTATTTGTCCTAGCTCTTGACAGGCTGCATCTTGTATATCTTTATATGTTGAAATTCTTCGTATCTGGATAGAAAGAGCTTAATAAATACTTGTTTAGTGGGTAATCAAGCCACACAACAAAATCAAAATGGATCATGTCCTAAATCATATTTACTTGCAAACTTCAAGGTCAAATTTTAACATGTATTTTATTAAAAAGTACATTTGTAGTTACTGAACTATTTAGAAGTATTTTAGAGTTTCCGAAGCATTGTGTCAAAGTGGCTGGTAATTGTTAATGATGTGGTATTATCTCACTATGTTAATGCTAATGAAATTAGGGTCTTTGATTTATTCTTCATATAGACCTATTAGTTTCATTCTGATTTTTGGCTACAGAACCCTAACCACTACAAATATTCTTAAAACTTCCTGCCAGAGATAATTGAACAGAGGAATGGATTGCACATCGCACATTTTATTATCAATTTTGAGAATAAAATTTAATCATCCCTCCCCTCTAAGTTCAAGGCATGATGCTGAATGGTGAGGATTTGTTTATTCATTTAGCAAACGTGTCGACTGCTTACTATATGTCATGTACATTCTAGGTACATGGGATATATCAGTAAACAAAGCAAGCAAAAAGTCATAATCTTGTAGAGTTAACATTCTACAAGAAGACAGACAATAAACTGTAACCATATCTAAAAATGTAAATTATATAGTATATGAAAAAGTATGGAGGTACAGCAGATTGCATTATTAAATAGTCAGGGTAAGCATTAGAAAGAGAAGGTGAGATTTGAACAAAGACTCAAAGAGGAAGTTGAAAGAATTAGTTTAAGCACTTTTGGGAGGAAGAACAGTCCAGCCGAGGAATTGGTTAGAGCAAAAACCCTAGGCAGCATTCCTGGCGTGTTTGAGGAATAGCAAGAGGCCACTGTGGATGGAATAGAGTAAGAGAAGGAGGGCAATAGAAGCTGAAATCAGAGGGGTTAGGGATTATATATGTGGGCCATTGGAAGGACGTCAACTTTTACTGATTGAAGTGGGGAAACCGTTGTAGAGTTTTGAGCACAAGAGTGACTTGATTGTACTTTTTAAAAGGATCACTCTACTGATGTATTAAAAATAGTTTGAAGGAGGGCAAAGATAGAAGGAAGGGGTTCAGAGCTTAGGGAGTTGTTGTAGCATTCCAAATGAAAGATAATAGTGGCTTGGATAGTGAGGGTTAGAGGTGCCCAGATTCTGGATATAAGATACAATTTGTTGACAGGTTGAATGCGGGGCATTAGGGAGGAAAAGATAAGAGTGAGTAACTTTAAGGTTTTTATTCCAAGCAACTGGAACAATGGAATTGCTATCACCTAATATGAACATGCAACAGTGAGCAAAAATCGACACCACTGCTCTCATCGTTGGGAGATATGTCTTATGAAGACAATATTGGCGTATGTATGGAATACCTGGAATAATATTTAAGAAACTGGAAAGGACTCGACTTTGAGGAAAGGACCTGGAGCTTTAGAGTGAGAGGGAGGCTTGTCAGTTTGACCTGTAGTCTTTTTTTTTTTTTTTTTAAACCAATATAGGTATATTTTAAATTATTTGAAAAACATTTTATAGGAGTACAATATACATACAGAAATGTGTTCAGAACTGTTCAGTTGGCTGAATTTTCAGACAGGATATTACTGTATAACCAGCCAGCACCCAGATCAAGTAACAGAACATTACTAGCATTCCAGCAACCCCTCAGACATCTTTCTAGTGACTACTTGCTTTTTCCTCTAAAGGTAAACGATCCTGATTTCTAATGCATACCTTATTTTTTGCCTATTAATATAAATGGAATCATACAGTATGACACATCATGTTATTTCTTCTTTCATACTCTATATTATTTTTGTAAAATTCATGTCATCACATGTAATTGTGGCCCATTCTCATAGAGTGGTATATAGTGTTGCATTTGTGAATGTATCGCACTTTATTTCTTCATTCTTTTGTTGATAAGTTCTTAAATTATTTATTAATGCCTTATTATTATCCTAATCAAATTTACATTTAAGTTAACTTTGAATACTGTAATGTTAAATGAGCTTTTTTTTGAGTTTTGATGATAGCTCCTTTCTTTATTTCTTTAACATGTTTATAAGAAATATTTTCTTTTTTAGGATGACTGTAGAGTCGTTTTGGCAAAACAAGAAATTACAAGGTTACTGGAAACATTGCAAAAACAGCAGCAGCAGTTTACAGAGGTTGCAGATCACATTCAGTTGGATGCCAGCATCCCTGTGACTTTTACAAAGGTAATGTCCTGTACTTCATTTTTAGGTTTGTTTTTTGACAAATGATAATTATTTATATTCCATGATAATCAGCTTGAAAGACAACCAAGAAATTAATGAATCATAGGACTTAAAAAAAATTTATTAGTGGAAAATACAAAGAGATATAAAGAATCTTCCTGTACCCAGCACCCACTTTGACAATTAAAAACTTTTAATTTCATCTCCCCTTTTCCTACTTCCCTTTCTATCCGCAGTCTCCTAGGTTATTTTGAAATAAATCCCAAATCATATCGTATTTCATCTATGAAATATTTTTCAATATATTCCTATAAGGTAAGGACTCTTTAAAAACATAACAAAATACTGCTATCACACCTAAAAATTTTAATAATAAATCTCTAATACTATCCATTATCCAGTTAGTATTCAGATTTCTCAGATCGTTAAAAAAATTTTAAGTTGCTTTTTTTGAGACAGAATCCAGACGAAGCATGGATGTATTTTAGTTTCTTTTAAAGTGGATTCCTCCTCAGTTAAAAAGGTTTGTGCATTCCATTTTGCTTTCTATTTTTAGGGACTGTATTATTTTAAATTTAATGTTGTTTTATAGTTATGTGAAATATTTACTTGATCCAGAGTTAAATCTACAAAACAAGGTTCATTCAGAGCAGTCTAGCTTCTATCTCTGACCCTTGTACCCTTGCCTCCCTTCCCCATAGAAAACCATTTATAATTTTTCGTAGTTTTAGTCATCATTTAAAAAAATGGAGAAATATTTCTATATATATATCTGAACATTCCCTATATTTAATGGTAGAATACCTTACGTACTTCTATACTTTGCCCTTTTCACTTAAGTATATATCCTGGACAATACACCATCTCTATAGCAGTATACACTGACATTTTCTGTTCCTCTTTTCAGCTTCAAGATACTTTATTGTGAGGATATATTACATTTTTTTTTATTGTGGCAAAAACCACATAATATAAAATTTATCATCTTAACCATTTTAAATGTACTGTTCAGTATTGTTAAGTATATTCACATTGTGCAAAACAGATCTCCAGAAATGTTTCCTCTTGAAAACTGAAACGCTATGTCTTATAAACAGTAACTTTCATTTCCCCCACCTTACCAGCTCCTGGTAACCACCATTCTACTTTCTGTTTCTTGGATTTTGACAACTCTAAATATCATGTAAATGGAATCATACACTATTTGTCTTTTTGTAACTGGCTTATTTCATTTAGCATAATGTCCTCAAAAGTTCATGTATGTCATAGCATTTTTGTCATCTATGTTGAGACAGAATTTCCTTCCATTTTAAGGCTAAATAATATTACATTGTATGTAGCACATTTTGTTCATCCATTCATCCATCAAAGGACATTAGGGTTACTTCTACCTCTTGGCTATTGTGAATAGTGCTGCTATGAATATGGGTCTGCAATTATTTCTTTGAGACCTTGCTTTCAATTCTTTGGATATATATCCAGAAGTAGGATTGCTGGATCATATGTTAGTTCTATTTTTAATATTCTGAGGAAATGCCATACTGTTTTCCATAGTGGTTGCATTGTATTATAATCCCACCAGCAGTGCACCAGAGTTTGAGTTTTTCTACATTTTTACTAACACTAATTTTTGTGTGTGTGTGGCTTTTATTTTTGTTTTTTTGATAGTAGCCATCCTAATTGGTGTGTGGTGATATCTCATTGTGGTTTGGTTTGCATTTCTCTGATGATTAGTGATGTTGAGCATCTTTTCATATGTTTTCTGACTATCTTATATCTTCTTTGGAGAAATTTAATGTAAGTCCTTTGCCCATTTTTTGAGTTGACTTTTTGTTGTCGAATTGTAGTTCTTTACATATTCTGAATGTAAATACATTATCAGATAAATGATTTGTAAATATTTTCTTCTGATTCGCAAATATTTTTTCCCAAAACCTAGGTTGCTTTTTTTTGACTGTCCTTTGATTCACAAAATTTTTTAAGATTGTTACTGTCTCATTTGTCTGTTTTTGCTTTTGCTGAGTGTACTCTTAGTGTCATATCCAGGAAGTCATTGCCAAATCTAATGTCATGAAGCTTTCCCCTGTATTTTCTTTTAGGAGTTTTAGTTTTAGGTCTTGTGTTTAGGGCATTAATCCATATATTTATAATCTAATTATTTATAATTGTTATATCTTTATAAAGTTACCCTTTTCTCATTATATAATGACCTTCTTTGTCTCTTATAGTGGTTTCTAACTTAAAGTCTATTTTGTTTAATGTTAAGATCACCACCCCTGCTCTCTTTTGGGTATGATTTGCATGTATATCTTTTTCCATCCTTTCTCTTTGAGCCTATGTGTGTCATTAGATATAAAGTAAGTATCTTGTAGACAGCATATTGTTGGATCTATTTTTTTTAAAATCCAGTTAGTCAAACTTTGTTTTTTGTTTGGGGAGTTAAATCTATTTTTATTTAAAGTAATTATTAATAGGTAAGGACTTACTGTTGCCATTTTGTAAATTGTTTTCTGTATATCTTATAGCTTTTTTGGTCTCTTCTTTCCCCTCTTACTGCTTTCTTTTGTGTTTTATTTTGTAGTGACATGGTTTGATTCCCTTCTAATTTCTTTTTATGTATATTCTATGGATTTTTTTTGTGTTTACTATTATAATTACATAAAATATCTTAGTTATAACATTCTATTTTGTACTAACTGCAATTGCATACTAAAAACCTTACTTTACCCCCTACACTTTGTTATTCATGTCACAAATTACATCTTTATATATTGGATACCTATTAACAGAGCCTTAATAGTTTAAAAAATATTTTTGTTATTTCAATTCTATAAAAATTAATGAACCAAAATTACAATAGTACAGGTTACTATTTTTTCATGTATTTACCTTTACCACTTTATTATTTCATAATGCTTTGTGTTCTTTTTGTTTGAACTTGAAGGACCTCTTCAGCATTTCTTATAGAGCAGGGGTCAAATGGTAATGACTCCCTCAGCTTTTGTTCTTCTGGGAAAGTCATTTTTTCCTTCATTTTTGAAGGACACTTATATGTAGCATTCTTGGTTGACAGTTTTTTTTTTCTTTTTCTTTCAGCCATTATTGAATATGTCCTCCTACACCTTTCTGGCCTCCAGAGTTTCTGCTGAGAAATTGGCTGATTATGTTATGGAATTTCCCTTGTATGCAATGAGTCACTTTTGTCTTGTTGCTTTTAAGATTCTTTGTCTTTGACTTTTAACAGTTTGATTATAGTGTATCTCATTGTGGATCTCCGGGTTTATCCTAGTTGGAATGCATTGAGTTAGAATTTTTATGTCCATTTCTATCCTCAGATTGGGAAGTTTTCAGCCATTATTTCTTCAAGTAAGCTCTCTCTGCCCCTTTCTTTCTTTTTATTCTTCTGGTACTCTCACAATGCATATATTGGTCTTCTTGCTAATGTCCCATAAATCACTTTAGTTTTCTACTTTTCTTCACTCAGTTCTTTTTTCTCCTCTAACTTGGTGAGTTCAAATGACTTGCATTCAGGTTTGCTGATTCTTTCTTCTGCCTCGTGAAGCCTACTGTTCAAACTCTTTAGTGAACTTTTTCAATGCAGTTGTTATATTTTTAGCTCCAGAATTTTAGTTCTTTTTTGGAGTTTCTTTGTTGATATGCTCATTTTGTGCATTCTTTGCTTTCCTGATTTAGTTACTTGTCTCTGTTTCTTTTAGCTTATTGAGCATTTCTATGATAGGTATTTTAAATTCTCTGTATGGCAGCTCATAGATCTGAATTTTTTTCAAAGTCAGTTTTTAGAATTTTTTTGTTCCTTCAATTGGGTCATGTTTTCTGTTTCTTTGTATGCCTCATGATATTTTATTGAGATTTGGGCATTTGAAAAAACATCTACATCTCCTAATCTTTATGAACTGGCTTCGAGCCTGGGAAGACCTTCACCGATCAGTCCAGCTAGAGATTCTGGGACTTTTCGCACCTTTTCTGGGGTTATATCTTCTCTGGGCTTGTGCGTGTGCTTTTACTTATCTTAAATTCTCTAAGCACTTTGCCCCTATATTTTCTCAGAGTCTAGTAATCTCTTGCTCCCCATGGTGTCTCCCTGTGCAACTACAGCTCCAACATGGCATGTTCTTGCCTGTGTTTCAAGTGGTTTTCAAATATGCCACTGGTCCCTAAGAGGTCCAAGTCAGGTGAGACAGAAACCAGTCTCTAGGGCAACCCCCAGATGAGTCAGAACTTTGGACACTCAGTCCATTCTTCTGTTTCTGCCCCAAAGAAGGAAGCTTGTATGGGATTTTCCCTCCTGGTTGCTCCGTTATTGCCAGGTCGGGGTAGGGACATAGATGCGTATGCAGAAATCTGTGAATTTTCCTACCCCTTTTGTTGGAATCCCTTCTTGCTTTTATGTTGGCCCGGGTGCTTTAGCTTCTCAGCTGGTCTCTCGAGTTCTCACAAAGGTATTCTGGTCCATATATACTTTTTATTTCCGAGGCTTAGGACTATACTAAAGTGTGGATTTTGAGCCATCATCATAAGGATAGTAAGTGAAGTACATGGAGTAAATGAGAACATGTAGAATGAGAAGCTGGCCTCATACAGATTCTCAAGAATACCAACATTTAAGAGGTAGATAAAAGGAAAATGAGAGGGAGCATCCAAAAAAAGGTAGGATGAAAACCAGGAAAATTTTGAATCATAAAAGCCAAGAAAAGAGTGCTCATATGAGGAGGCAAAATGATAATTGCTGACACTTATATAGCACTTATCATATGCCAGGAGCTGTTGTGGGCACTTATATGTGAATTTTTAAAAACTGGTTCTTGCAAAAATTGTATAAGTTTGGTACTATTTTTATCCTCATGTTATAGATGAGGAAAGTGAAGCAGAGAAGTCATGCAGTTAGTAATATGTACAAGTATGTTTATTGCGAGTATGTTCATTGTTTATAATATAAAAAATTCAGAGATGACCTACCATCTGTCAGTTGAGAATTGGTTAAATTGTGGTTCATAGAATATAATGAAGCAGTTGAAAGAAAAAGGTCTGTCTTTATGTTTTGAAATGAAAAGGATTCCATAATATACTGTTGAGTATAAAAGTTAGTTGCAGTGTATGGTTTTTTATTAAATTTTTAGAAGTGTATTTGTCTTGTTTGTATATTAACCAGTGTGTGCATAGGAAAGTAGAGAGATATACATGAAATTAACTGGATGTTTCTGGGAAGTGAGCAGCAATTTTCATTTTTAATTAATAATATATTTAGCACAGCATAAAAACCTTAAAGAAGATTCAATTAAGCTAAAAAATCTGGGGAAATTAAGTGCCTTTTTTTTTTTTAAATTTATACAAAAACAAAGTAGTTGGTTTTACTAAGGGATTTCACAATAAGGAGTGATTCTTCTCTATGAGATCAGATTCAGAGTATTTTAGGGAATACAACTCATTTCAGTGGGTTGAGGAATAAGTAGGAGAGAAAGCAGTAATTAACAAAGATTTTATAAATAAAAGTATAAATCCTAATGCTTTTAACTCCATGTCAAAATTAAAAGATTAAACATTTTTTTAAAATTATAGGACAATAGAGTTCACATTGGACCAAAAATGGAAATTCGAGTTGTTACATTAGGATTAGATGGAGCCGGGAAAACCACTATTTTGTTTAAGTTAAAACAGGATGAGTTTATGCAGCCTATTCCAACAATTGGTAAGTATGAGTATTGCTTTTTACCTTAATGGACATTTTATAGGCAAACCTTAGCTTATAGATGACTTCTTGGGGTTTTATTTTATGCCACTCTGGCATGGAGATGGACTTTTTTTCTGTCTCTAAGACACCGGCAGTTCAGAGGAAAAATGCAAGATTCAGAGCTGTTGGAATGAAATGTGGATGGTAGTATAGAAAGAAGGAACAGAGTATTGGTGGGACAGTTGAAAGGAATAAAGGACTAATGACCCTGGCTGAGCGTTAGGAGTGAGGGGGTGGGAGTATGCAGAGTTGGCAGGTACCTGGGTTTCAGGGTCCTAAAGACACTACTAGAGCTCCAGAGGGCTGACAGCTGATAAAGATATACATTCTTTATGTAGGTTTATTAGGAGGGGTGTTGGTTAGGCAGCAGTAGATATTTGCTGTATGAAGATAATTTGTAAGTCATAGTTATAAACAGGAGCTTGACTTGTGTTTGGCATATCACTCACTATAAATATGATAAGCTCAGTTATTAAAGTAATTTTTTTTTTTTAAAATAGGTTTTAATGTGGAAACCGTAGAATATAAAAATCTAAAGTTCACTATTTGGGATGTTGGTGGAAAACACAAATTAAGACCATTGTGGAAACATTATTACCTCAATACCCAAGGTAAGTGGGAAAAATGACATCTTAATTTTTCAGATTTTTAGGATGCCGGTTTTCAGTATATTGATTTTAGTAAAGCTGATATTTAAGCATTGATTAAATACTGACTTGACCTTTAAATATTGGTAGCCAGACCCACATTATTAAAAAAATGAAAGTGGAAAAACTGGGATATGTACTTTGATTTATTTCATGAAGAGCCATAATTGTAACATAAAAACAATACTTAGATATGTGGGCAATTAACAGTACTTATCTCTTGCTGCTCTTAACAGTTAAAGTATATAATTAATGTTCATATGAGTAATTGCTGGCAATATTGTGGAGTATAATATAATTTGTGATGTATGGTTCTGCTGCTCAATTGAACATTTATCGTATTATATCTCAATAGCTCTGTTTCCACTCAGTTATCTGTGGGACAACCTACAGTGGTTTGCTTTTGACCAAAGTGTGTTATATTGCATATATTTAACCTAGTATTAACATTTGGGCCCCATTCTACACTTTTTTCTGTATCCCAACATGAAGCTTACATTTATGCCACCTGTCATCCTCCTTTCCACCTAGAAAAGAGACTAATTATTTTTATTTTGGGATTTTGATATTGAGTTTAACCAGTGGTTAATGGGGGAAAAAATGAAATTTTGATCATGAGGAATGGTTGAAAGCCTGGGGATGTTTAGCTACCATAAAGAAGCTGGAAAGATTTCAAAAGATTATCAATTCAATAGATAATTATGAAGTTTCTGCTGTGTATTTTGAGTACAATCTATGTGGAAAGTGCTGTGCTACGTACCTAAAGAGAATCTTTGGGAAGATGAAGATGGTGATTTATTTATTTTTAAAGGACTATCTTTTGGTAAAAGAATTAATAATCAAAGAATAAGTAGCATCAGTAGGTAGATCATGAGAGGTACATTTTCATTCAATAAGAGAAAATATTGACATACACAGCAACTTGTGTTTGTTTGGTAAAGCATGTGTTACAAATCCTGTTATAGATGGGGAAATGAAAGCTGAAAAGTTATGTTAACTACTTGAGATCATACCATTAATTATTGCTAGGTGCTTCTTTAATAATAGGCAGCCTTTCTGTGAAAATAGTGGTAGTAGACTAACTACCCATAATATAATAATGAGAGCCTTAAAATATTTGGTCTATTTACTGAAACTTAAGCAGTGACTAATTGAATGTTTTTTTTTTTGGGTAGCTGTTGTATTTGTTGTTGATAGCAGTCATAGAGACAGAATTAGTGAAGCACACAGTGAACTTGCAAAATTGTTAACGGAAAAAGAACTCCGAGATGCTTTGCTCCTGATTTTTGCTAACAAACAGGTATTTGTATTTAAGAACATTTATTTTAGTAGTTTTGTGCATTCCATATCATAAGGTAGCTGGAAAGATTTCAAAAGAGAAATAATTAGTAGATATTTATAACGTTTTTGCTGTGTATTTGGAGTGCAATTTATGTAGTAAGTGCTGTGCTTTGGTACCTTGGAGTATACAAAAGGAAATAAAGTAGTTGATGCTCACCAGAAAGTCCCATGTATGTATACGAACATGTAAGTGATTATATATGATATTCTAATGCAAATAAAATTGGTAAGTAACTTCAGTAATATTAACAAAGTATTATAGGAAATTAGTTCTCAAGGTGACATTTTTAAGATTTTTAAAAAATAGGATTTCAGTTGAAATTATGGATAAGTCTTTGAGTCAGTATGTGAAGGAAAAAACATTGCAGGCAGAGAAAATAAAAGCATGGGTATTTTTAGGGAGTATCAAGCAGATCTTTATATGAGGGGCAGGTAGAAGATGAAGAAAATCTAGAATAACAGATAAGGCCATATTGTAAAGGCCTGACAGGGCCAGACTGAGAAATTTAGGTTTTATTCTGTGAGCAAAGGAGAACCATCCAAAGGTTTTTGGACTAGTTGGTGATAAGATCATGTCAAAGTTTTAAGACTAATCCTGGGCTAGGATATAGAATTAATCGCGTACAGGGGAGGGACTGGAGATGGAGATGAAGGAAATTGCTGCAGTAATTTAAGTGAGAGAGTTAACAAGATCCTAAACTAGAGGAATAGATAGGTGGAAGCAGATTGAAGACATTTTATGAAGGTAGAATTGTAGCAATTTGGTGACCGTATGGGGAGGATGAAAGACAGGGAGTAGTGGAAGATCCCTAGATCTTGAGCCTAAGTTTCTAGGAGGATGAGAATATTTTAGTGCAATAGATGTCATAAGGAGGAAGAATAGGATGAGGAACAAAAGATTTCCCCCTTAATTAAAAAACAAGTGAATACACTTCACTGTACTTAGGATTGAAGACATGCAGATAGACAAAGTGAAAGATCATTTGCCAACTATCATATTGTTTAAGACAAAAATCTTTGATAACCCTCTGGCTCACATACACTGTTGGAGTGGTTATCAAACTGAGACATTTTCTTAGAGAGCAATATGGCAATAACTTGTCCAAGTTTTTTTTATTTGTTTATTTGTTTAAGCCTACAGCACCTGGTATTCCGAGGTGGTCTCCCATCCAAGTACTAACCAGGCCCGACCCTGTTTAGCTTCTGAGATCAGGTGGGATCGGGCACATTCAGGGTGGCATGGCCATAGACCTGTCCATGTTTTAGATGCATATACCCTTTTACCTTGCAATTCTACCTCTAGTAATATATCCTGCAGACTAATATCCTAAAGTTATTCTGCAGATACTTTTGCAGATGTATATATCTTTAAAAAAAAAAGGAAAAAATACATATACACACACGTGTGTTTATGTATGTATGTGTGTATATGTATATATACGTATGTATGTGTGTATATGTACATATACACACACATATATATATATATATGTAATAATAGCACATAAGCCCACAACTTCAAGCCCACAACTTCAATCTAAATCTTCAGCATAGGCCTAGTGAAGAAATTATCGTGCACTTACACAGTGGAATACAATTCAGATGTTACAAATAATGTGGAAAATCTGTTCTGATAATGGAAAGATATTTATCTCCAAGAAATTTTCTGGAAAAGTATGAGATATTATTACTGGTGATTGCTTCTGGGAAGTAGGGGTATTTGGAATAAGAGTTTAATAAACTTCATTATATAAGCCATTTTTTATGATATATATGTGTTAGTTTTTCTTTTAAATTGATACCTTATAATGACTCAGGCAGTATCATTCAAGCTGCATGGCTTTTATTGATTTTATTGTAAGCTATATATGTTACAAGCTATATATGTTTTAAATAAGTAAGCAATTTAACCAAAACTCGAATTTTTTCTATTTTTATTAATCTCAGAATAATTACTGAAAGTGAATCTAGGTTTTAACTTTAGCTTAGGCTTCCGTTAGAATGGTACTAACAGAATTCTATACAAACAGTAAATTAGGAAAATGATGTTGATGGACTGGTTTAAAAACGTATCTTTCAGGATGTTGCTGGAGCTGTGTCAGTAGAAGAGATCACTGAACTTCTCAGTCTTCATAAACTGTGCTGTGGTCGTAGCTGGTTCATCCAGGGCTGTGATGCTCGAAGTGGTATGGGACTATATGAAGGGTTGGACTGGCTCTCACGGCAACTTGTGGCTGCTGGAGTATTGGATGTTGCTTGATTTTAAATGCAACAGTTGTTTAAAGTTTTGTGGTTAAGAGTTATTTTGCACATATGTTCTAAGACATTCTACATCTCAAAGATAGTTAATTTAGGATAAGTATATAAAAGGAATCTTGGACTGGGAATTCGGTACAATATTGCTTTTTAAAAAATTATTCTGTAGTGAAATTTAAATTCTGATTGAACAGATTAAATTGGATTAAATAGGGTTTTGCGTATACATTTTTTAAAAATATACATTGGTTATTTAAGTTTTTCAGATTATTTTGACACATATATTGAGAAGTAGTTACAGAGAAAGGGTAGGTGAAGGTTTCTTCTTATAGCCAACTGAGTGCCTAATGGAACCTCTGTGTCAAGTAAGTGAAGCATAGCTTCTTTTTTAACTTGCCTTTTCACTGAATTTTGGCAGTAATTAGTAGTAAAACGACAGTGATTTAATGAAACAGAATCCACAAATTGCATCTTTGGATAATAGAATTACTTTTATCTTTAGGTATAACAGAACACCTTTAATGCTAAGACTATAAGCTATAGATAATTAACTTTATAAAGCGTTTTATTAAAACTTACTCCTAAAGCATTTTGTATAAAACCCAGTGAGTCAGAATGAAATGTTATCTAACTAGGCCTGATTGTCAGATTTGTACTAAACTGAAGAACAATTAATAAAACTGTGAAGTCAGTTATGTTCTAGTTGATCTTCACTTATGAAAGACCCATTTCCAGAGCTGACCCTGGTTGTATTATTTCCTAGGTCAGAGCTTTAAATTGGTCTATTTTTTCAACATATTTAAAGTACTTGGTAGTGTTTCTTTTAAAAATAATATTGCATCTGTAGTGACATGACTATACGTGAAATGTATTAAGTTATATACAGAACCAGGGTTGGCTTTACATAAGAGATCTAAGTAGAAAATCACCTTCACCCTTAAGAGACGTTTAAACAGTGGGGAAAGATTATTACATCAATTACTTTAAAATGTTTTCCTAAACTAAGTGCATTTATCTTGACCAAACATGATCAAGGCTCTTCATGACAAGACCTTGAAAAGTTATTTAAAAGAACATGTCTAAGGAAGGAAAAGAAGAAACGTTCAAAAAGTTTACATTACATTAAATTATGCATTATTGAGGGTAAAAGTTTAAAAATTTTGTGCTCTTTACTGTTTTTCATTTTTTTAAGGATACTCCCTTATTATGGCAGTACAACTTATTATATTTAAACATACTAGATTGGATTTTATGGTTTTTTAAAAATACTTTTTCTATTTTTAGGATGAGGTTGAATCCTAAATCTTAGTTGGAAACTACTATCAGGACATTGATGTGTGATGACAAGATGTGACTTTTAGGTGGAGTTATTAGTCTCTTCAAATGTATTTTTGTTTAAAAACAACTTTCAGAAAACAAAGCATTTAAAAAAAAGGTCCAGTGTTATGGGCAATGTGTAAATAAGTAAATATATTGTCCTTATTTTTCAAGTAAAAGGTCATGCTGTTACAAGTGTAATTTGTGCATATACTTTTGGATTAAATTATTTAATATTTGACTGATTGCAAGAACTGTGAAAAATAAAAACGGTGTTATATTTGCCTGTGAGCCCTTGAACTGTTTTCTCTACTAGGTTGAGAACATGTAAACTTGTTTTCCTTGTATATTGTATATTTCACCAATTTTATTAAACTTTGTAATTCACATTCTTAGCACATTACTAAACACAATTTAAAAATTGTGCTTAGACCTGATTATAATGTATAATAGTAGTGTTTGTGTGTGATTTTTTTTTTTTAAAGAAATATTTTTCTCAGGCTCTTATTATTACTATTTGTGGTTGTATTCTTTCACTAATCATGTTAATGATTGTACTCGTTCCCTCTGGGAAATGTCAAATTTAAGAATGAGAGACATTTTAAACACCTAGCTTTAAATTTCTGTGTGAAATGAAACCCTAAATATTACTGTATGATTTATGTAAAGCAGGTTTTTCAAGTGTATAGCCCTGGTCTGTAATTCCGGAGTGCTTTATAATTACCAGAAGCCATTATTTGCATTCCACATATGGTCAGAATAGACAGCAATAAAATCTTAAAATCATTTTAAAGAAGTCCTATCATTATTCTAAAAATTCTGTTTCTCGAACCATCTATCTAGTAGTAGTGCCAGTAACCAATTTAAAAAGTCATATTTGTGCTGTGGTTAAGAGAAACAATAAAACAAAATTGGGTAGGGACTCATGTCAAATTTAAGATGTAGTTTATTTAAGATTTAGAAATAACATTCTGTATTTGCAATTTAAGTCGCATTTAAATAAGTATTATGTTTTGAAAAGAGCTAAAATTTTGCATTGAACAAAATCTATTGCTTTAAAAATTTTAAATTTAACCTGTTTCTTTTGAGAAATAGCATTTTAAATAACCGTTTTAGAAAATGGCTTGGAAAACTTAGCTGTAGCCTATGAATATTTCTAAGAGAAAAACTTACTTTTTTTAACACTAACAGCACCTGGTATTCCTAGGTCTCCCATCCAAGTACTAACCAGGCTTGACCTACTTAGCTTGTGAGATCAGACAAGATCGGGCAGGTTCAGGGTGGCATGACTGTAGATGAGAAAGTATTTTATGTAACATTGAGATACTTCTCGATTTGAAAAGTAGTAACAGGGAAGACGATAACTGTACTTTTCCCCTAAACGAATTAGTGAAAAGGACTAATGAATAAGTATCAGATGGTATCTTGCTAATAATTGAAAGCATCCTTAAAAAAAGACATCTGGCAATTTATGTGTTTAGGTTTATAGATTATGTTATATTTGTGACATGGAAAAATTCATTAATCAAATATGATTTTTACTCAAAGCAAAATAATTATATTTTGAGGAGAATGAGGCATCACCACCACTTGGTGGCAGTATTAACCAAAAATTTAGTTTTAAGCTTTTAGGAATAAATGAATTGCCAGGTAGATAAATCTCAACACCTAAAATTAGGAAGAAAAGGTAAATGTCACAGTGAAAAGTCATTTTATGTCCAACTTTATGTTATACTTTTTAAAAGGACACAATTTTAAAGTAGTACAATTTGAGATTTTTTTCATCATACAAGAGTTTGTGGAATTCCAATTTCTATTAACCTCCATTATTAGATATTAAAGTTTTTTGCTCTATATATTCTTTGATGGTATATTTAGTAAAGTAAGAAAAGATATACTGTAAACTTGAGAACAGAAAAATTATTTAGCTACATTAGAAAAAGAATGTGAAAAAGTAAATGAATCTATATAAAAACTAAAGACTCGGGTATTCATTTATTCTGATTCTTATATTTGAAATATTTGATGATTATTAAGGAATTTAACTCTTTTAACCCAAAGGACTTCCTTTATTAAGTTTTACTAACTACTTACTACTTAATAATAATCAAAAGACAAAACTATTCGGCATGGAATACAAACGTCGTAAAAGAAAGGAATGGTATATACTATCAGATCCTGGGTACCCTTTGTGGATCTAACGAAACATGAGGGCAGATTATCTGGCACGTTTTAAAAAGCTAAGGAACAAATACATACCACCCTCATTACTATGGTTTTGAGTCTCATGAGAAATTACACATAAGAAGTGCTATTTGCTTGAGTTTAGTCCATTTCAATTTTTTACCCACCCCCCCAAGGATGAGAAATATTGCAAGAAAAAGCAGTTTTAAAAAATGGCTTTTAATGAAAAATATAAAAATAATGCATCCTTGAAACATGATTTGTATGTTCAGCAAGTCTTAAGAGATTCCTAATGTAAAATAATCCTGTTTACTATGTGTATTTTTTTTTACACATACAATGAAACAAATCTTATTTTACTTGACAGTAATATTTATGATGCTGACATCCTCATAGGGCTTGTCTGTTTTGGGATTGACTTTGACGTTGGAGATCCTTTGCACAACTTCCATTCCTTTAGTCACTCGTCCAAATACTGTATGCTTATTATCAAGCCAAGGCTGTGTTGGAGGACAAATGGAAAATCTTGGTAAACTGGGATTTCTTAAATCACATCCTCTGGGTGAGCAAACTAAAGAGAATTTAAATTTATGCTTTACTTTTTTATGTAATTAAAAGGATTTACAATAATTTCACTTAGCAGGTTTTCAGAGTGATTTCCAGCTTTATAAACATAAAAGCATAGTATAATGTTTTAAGTTTCTGCACCTTTAAGACCAAAAGGAGCTGGACAATGCTTGCTACAGGTAAGTTTCTTTGCATGGTTTCAAGAATTATGGCCAAGGCTTTAAAAGTTCTCTGCAGGAATCTACCTGTACAATTAAGAGGCAGTCTGGAATAGTTTAAGCAGCAAGTGCTTTGGGATTAGAGAGATGGGTGCTCAGATGCTGGCTCTGCTACTTTACCTGACCTTTGGCAAGTTAATCATGTCTGTTTGTTTCCTCTTCTATTATTTAAGACTGGGTATAGTGGTACTAGAAGTATTGTGAATATTACATGAGACTATGTGCCTGGCAGATAGTAGTTATATTTTTCCTTCATTGCTTCATACTTAATTCCAAAAAATAATTTTTAATATTTTGTAGAACTGCATAACAGTAGAGTTAGACATTCTTTTACCATATTCCGTCAAATCCACAATGGTTGCATTCTGATTTCAGAGGTTTAAAAATGTGGGGAAAAGGTCTTAAAATCGGGAATTCATATACTTTAATTTTCCCATTCTAAAGATGAGGAAAGAGGCACAGATGTGAAATAATTTGTTTTGGATTATACAAAACAATAGTAGCAAAACTGACTAAAACTCAAGTGTCCTAAATTACAGATGTATTGTTTTACAAAATAAAATCTCATTGTTAGGTAATTTTATATTTTCTTACATAAATTGTTTTCATTTTTATATCCTGGCAGATATAAATAACGGTAGAGAATAATGAAGCTCTCTCTTCCACTGAATTCACTCTTAGATCATAACCACTGAACCTTGGCTTACACATAATGCTGTTCTACTTACCGTTGGTACTACTGTTATGAAAAACTGAGATCCATTAGTATTGGATCCAGCATTGGCCATGCTGAGTGTATATGGTCTGTCGTGTCGTAATGTTGAATGAAATTCATCTTCAAATTCTCCTCCCCATATGCTTTCTCCTCCCATACCAGTACCAGTTGGATCTCCTGTCTGAATCATGAAGCCCTTAACAGAAAAATATACAAAAAAAAAAACGTAATATACCGCCCTTTTCTATACTGTCTACTTTGGAGATCTTGTTTCCAAGAGTGCTTTGTATTCAGTCAAAACTTTAACAGTTACTATATAAAGAGATTTTATTAAACTCTTAGTAAGTTATACTTTAATTTGGATGATGTATTTCCAGTGCTCAACTGCTACCTAATTTCAAAGATTAAAACAAAAATGCAAAGGTCTTCATTTATAGACATGTACTACCTACCCCAATAATCCAATTAAAACCAATTAATAGTGTGAATAAGTTTTAGGATCTGTGTAGTATATTAGGTCTTCTATAACTGCCCTGCCCTCCTCTCTTTCC